CAACGAGCTTCAAAGTCAGGACATCGGTGAAATTGCATAGGGAAGTCATTCATCGAATTCAATTCTACAACGAGTTTACGGGAGCCTTGTTAAAATACTTCTGACGGGCCTAAGGATCATATGTTACCTAACTATACGTTGTTATCTACAAAACATGCTCGATGGTCCTGCATGAGAAAGGCTAATGCAGCATGATCGGAAGGGTGGAGCCCCTTCCCAGACCACATTAATTGGAGGTGACAGTGATTACCTTCCTAACCATCTATACTAACTACCTCCTTCTCATTTGGAAGAAAGTAGAAATTCTTCCTGGTGACTTTTCTTCTTTTTACTCATATCGTTCTAGAGCAGGTAAGTAATCTATAACTCGCCACACTGAAGGGGTGCTTTGTGCTTTAAAACAGAAATCTGAACTAGAATATTAATATTTGACTTTGGGTCTTGGGAAGCATTGAAAAATGACAGTACATAAAGTCAGAAAAGAATACTTGATGGGGTAACTCAGTCTGTACATCCTCACAGTAAAGATTCTCACATCTATGTGGGAGTTTGGGAAGAAGCAAAGATGATGGGCTCATTATTATATTTGGAAAAAAAAATAACCTGAAATAAATATTTCCCAATATTAATTCTGGTTTCAGGAAGTAGTATGTACTATTATTAAGGTTTCTTTCTCAGTGTTTGCATGAATCATGACATTAATAATGACATTAAGGTTTTTTTCCACTAAGCTATTTTTTGACAGCTGTGCTTTACTTGGCCAGAGTCCATACAGCGGTGTAGTCTGCATCTGGAACGTAAAGACATTTTCCATTTGAGGAACATGATCATTCTTATAAAATAAAATTCAATATTCCAGCATGAAGGCATATTTGGAAAAGGAGAGGTTAGGAGAAACTCTAGAAGACAATATTATGAATGCACATTTGTATGTCCCAGCCTACTTAGTGTGTAATTTCTTTAACAAAAACAATTAAAAATAATTTACTTAAAACAATAGTTTAATAGGTGCAGAAGAATGATCTTTTATAAAAGAGTCTTTAAAAAATATCTTGTTAGTAATATTTTAAGTGAAGATTTAAAAAATTGGTAAAGCTTTCTTTTTTTCATTTCTTCATTGTTGGTTCCTAGATATTGATGTTTGGACTGACACTGCAGTAAACCAGTAAAGTGTGTGTTGCTTTATTGAAATCTCAGATCTTGAAAAATCACAAAGTGTATAAAGTTCCTATAAAGATGCAGTAATTTCTCTTTGAACAACTAAATCAACAGCTTAAAATAGCATAGACATTATATTCACAAGGCAATAAACAATTCACAAAACAAATAGGTTTGCTGATATAAAAGTAAAACCAGAAAGCCTTTAAAAAGCATATATAAGGGGTACCTCGGTGGCTCAGTCAGTTAAGCGTCTGACTCTTGATTTTAGTTCAGGTCATGATCTTGGGATCCTGGGACTGAGCCCCACGTTGAGGTTCTGCGCTCAGCAGTGCTTGGGATTCTCTCTCCTTCTACTTCTGCCCTTCCCCCCACTTGCACACACATGCTCTCTCTCTCTCTCAATAAAAAAATAAAATCTTTTAAAAAAGTAAAATAGGGGCACCAGGCTGTCTCGGTTGAACGACCAACTCTTGGTTTTGGCTCAAGTCATGATCTTGGGGTCTCAATCGAGCCCCTTGTTGGGCTCTGAGCTCAGTGTGGAGTCTGCTTCAGATTCCCCTTCCCTCTCCCTCCCACTCACTCTCTCTCAAATAAATAAACAGTCTTAAAAAAATAAATAAAATAAATAAAAAGAAAAAATGTAAGAAATGTAAAAATGTAAAAAATATAAGAAAAAATAAAAGTTAAATAAAATTTGATATGAAAATAACCGGTAAGGATGCCTGGGTGGCTCAGTCGGTTAAGTGTCTGCCTTCAGCAGGGGTCATGATCCCAGGGTCCTGGGACTGAGTCCTGCATCGGACTCTTTGCTCAGTGGGGAACCTGCTTCTCCCTCTCCCTCTGCCTGCCGCTCCCCCTGCTTGTGCTGTCTCTCCGTCTCTGACAAATAAATAAATAAAATCTTTAAAAAAAAAGAGAGAGAGAGAAAAGAACTGGTAATATTAGGAAGAAAACTTAAGAAAAAAATTTGCAGCTAACATTAAAGTAATACTATAAAAATTTATCCTCCTAATTTATTGATTTGCTCCTGGTCTAATAGAATGGTTTGCAACTGTTTTTGTTTTTGTTTTAGACTATGGACTATTTAATTAGGAACACACCTGCATCACAGTTCCCACTTTTCAAGGGAAAAGGAGTTAGATCAGAGTACAAATAATTTTTTCATGAATTACTTATGTATACACTTCAGCAGCAGGGATAAGGCACTTGAACTACAGATTATATGTATTTAAGACTAATTATTGGAAAATCATAGGTTAAAATATTGCTGATGAAAGTTGACATTGCTTCCATTGGTAAATTTTAAATGAATAGTCATCTAGATTAATTATATTAAAATGACTGGATATATCATTAAAAAATAAAACCCTGGCCAACATAAAACAAGTTTTGACAATCCCTTGAGTATCCTTCCCCATAAATCTGTTGGAATTCCACTGTCTTTGTATGCTCTGACACACCAAGTGAACATCTACAGGTCAATAAGTATTTTTACATGTTAATTATTAACCAACTAACATGTTAATTTATGAATAATTGCATTTAAGATGTACCTTTAATATGGTCAATTGTTTGTTCAGTATAACATCAACTTACAGAAGGAGAAAAAATGAGAACAGATAACATTTTAATTCTATTGCTTCAGTTTGGGTCTTCTAAGAAGCAGACCCCAAATGGGATCAGTAGTGCAAGAGAATTTTTAAGGAGGGAACAAGAGAAGGTGAGGACAGGCTTCAGACTGCAATACAGGGAGGAGTTAGGGAGGGAAACATCCTGTCCAAAGAGATGCGAACTGCAGCAGAGTTCTGAGAAAGATTGGACCAGGCCAATATGGAACCCTCAGGCTAGTTACCACTTGACCTCTCAGCAAAGTGGGATGGCCTTGCTCCTGTACCATGCCTAGTCAGAGCTAGCGCAGCCAGCAGAAGTGTGACTTCAGAGCTCAGCGGTGGATCCAGCAACTGGGGCCATCAGGCAACTATATCCCCTGTAGCAGGAGTCTCGAGCGCTGCATTTTCATGCCCACCAATGTGTAAACTTTGCCTCACACAGATTGACTTCTCCATGTGAGTTTGGAGCTAACTTTTCCATGGTTCTGTGGGCCTCTTTTCTTTACAGGAAATGTAGAAGCCCTTCCAGAGCAGAAAGGGACTAACATAGGTGGCTTGTCCAGGTGGCAGGTTGTTCTCCTTGAGTAATTATCTCATATCAGGGACTTAGCTTAGGTCTCTGTTGCTGACAGTTGGACATTTAGCAGCAACAGTAACTCGTTCAGCCTTGGTAAGTGGGAGTCCATGCCTTTGGGTCCATAACCAACCTCCATCTCTACCAACACAGAAGCCACCATGCTTATGTGTTCATTGTGCTACTTATGCTAATTCCAAGGTACCAGTGACAAAGGCTGGCTGCAGCCAAGTTACTGTATCATCTTGTCTACTTGGCTGTTCAATGATTCTTCTCTGGTGGATGTTTTTGGCAGGGTGTTAAGGTGACATACAATCTCTTGTATGTCTGTCTGTGTGTCTCCATCCAGACCTCCTTATCTCAGACATGCCATTCCCTTTCCTTTCCCTTACAGGCCAGGCCACTGGCCACTACCCAGTCATCTGGATATGTTTTTCCCTTGCACTACTTCTCCTTTCCCTCAAAGTGAATGGCCAGGAGCACTCCTTGCAGCTCTCCAGTTCATATATTTTCCTCTCCACTGTCTTTCAAGGCTCTTCTCTGTAGTAGTAATGAAGTCTCCATCAGTTTAGACTTGTCCCTACATGCATAATGGACCGATCCCTAAACTGGGTTTGGCCATTTCTTCTTCTGCATTAGTCACGTGGGAACCCTCATTCCTCTATAGCCATGGGTGTGAGCTGGGGGAGGGCACCGATAAATCCACAGTGGGTCACATGAGCATCTGGGCTACCTGCTCAAGAAGCTTACTCACATTCTTTTATCCCTCTCTGGCTCAATCCCAGATGTACCAGATCCATCTCCTCTCTGAACTTTCTATTTCTTCTTCTACCATCTGATAGGGCACCTAAGGGATTTTCACTTTGCTCAGCATTGGCCATCACCTCTACCAGGCTTCTAAAGCACTCTAGCAGTGATTTTGTCCATTCACTTTGTCCTTGCCAGGGTATTAAGTCTCATGTCCCAAGAAAGTGTCTCCACATCAATAAATACTTGCTTATGTAATTCCAGCTTCCTTTATCAAAATTCTCAAAAATTCAATCCCAGATGTGCCCCATGGCTCATGCTATTGTTGTTGTTCTTGCAACTGGTCTCAACTTGTATAGAGACTGAGGTGAATATTTTCCACAGTGCCACTTAAAGAAAAATTTCCTCAGTTTATGGTCTGATCAGTTTCAGGTATAAAGAAAAGATTTCTATTTCCAAGGGATCCTTTAGGAGTGACAATCTCAGAGAAATAAATTATATACATATATTTGTATTTAGATTCTCTAAATGAGTAAAAGCTGTTGCCTTTGGGCAGGATTCATCACTAATCTAATGTTCTTACTTGGCATATATCTATGATCAAAGAAATCTATTCACCTGAGATCATTAACGCAATGGTATGTATAAACCTTGGTAGAACATCTCACTGAAAATCACGAGAGAGAAGGGAATGACCCCCAAGTGTGCCTTACTACTAGGAAATATGGATCATTAAGCAAAACATAAAGTATGGGCAAGAGTATGTGTTGTTCATTTAGAACTTCATAGACAGGTCAGGGGCATGTGGAATTCCTGCAAGGGATTGATTCTCTGAAGCCACAAATACCATTGCTCTAGGAGGGAAATAAGGAACCTCAACATCCTGTCCCAGGATTGTCACTGAGATTGGTCCCCAGTGTAATCCTACTGAGCATGACTTTTAGGTCATTAGCTCTCTGCAAGACATATATGTTTTCATCATTTACCCAACCAAACTACTACCCACACATCCACACATTTGGACCTGCATATGATTTTACCTGGGAAGGATTAGGAAAAATCTGATGCAAGGATAGAAATGATTTTCCAAGTATTCCATGCTGGACACCTCAACAATTACCTTGAGACAGTGAGTAAACTTGTCCCAAATCCTCATCTTATTTACTATATTTTTGACAACTCCCAGTACATCTTCTGTTAATCTGTGTCTGCCAGAAAGCATGCACAAAACTAGGATTATCTGCAAGAAATTTATTGAGAGAAGGAGCAGGAAAAAATTGGATTGCTTTCAGCCCACACTTCAGGTATGACCCATCTGGAAGGAGAGCGAGAAAGTAGGGGATTGGCTAGGAAGCATCTCGACTATAGTGTAGTTCTCAGAAATTTTTGGCCAGGCTGATGAGCCCTCAAACTGTGCCTTGGAGGAGACAGATTTCAGCTGGGCAGCAGCAGCAAGGCCATCAGGCAAATTTACAGCTTTCTACAGAATATGTGAGCATATTTTCATGGCTGCCACATCAACTATTGAAATAAGAATTGATGAGAACCATTATTCTGTAGTGGAACAAAACTGGATTTGAATCCTTGCTCTTTAACCTTGGACTAGTTCTTGAACTTCTCTAAGTCTCAATATTTTTCATTTGTAAGTATGGAGATCATAATAACTATTTCACAGTGTTGGGGGTGAGTATAAAATGCGATGGTTCTGTAAAGCCCTTAGCATGGCACCTGGTTTGTAAAGGTAAGTTCCTCTGAGTGTAAGGATATGAGAGACTTCTGCATTGCCTGACCAGATGGAGATTTTCTACTTCTGCTATAGACTGCAAAATTCAGTCATTAAAAAAAAAAAGAATTTTTTTTTCTTATAGTATGTATGAAGGATATATATATATAAAATAGCATGTAAAATGTTACTGATGCCATAGGAATGAAGATAACATTGGCTGGTTAAACATCAGTTTAGTATCTGTAACTTAATAGTAAAAATAAATTTAACTAAAATAACTTTTATGACAAATAAGAGATGGGGTATATTATATTTTCTGGAGTTTCTTACTATTTCTTTCAAAAATTACAACCCACCTCTCTTAACTCTCAAAATAATGTTCAGTTGAAACAATGACTTTTGTCATGGATGAATCTGACTTAATGGTTAATTTCAGATATTACAGTTTCATACTTCTTACTGTGAATTTAATATGAGATTACTTGTTTTTATCTTTGGCTAATTTTTTGGATTATAGTGAATAGGAGTTCTAATATTTACTTGAAAACATTTCACTTAGGTTAACCATTTAAAGACTATTCAGATTTGAAAATTTTATATTATCAGCAATCACACTATGGAAATTAATCCCTGCATACTGAGAAAAATGAAAAAGCTAAGAAGGTAAGCATGGTGTATAAAATATTACTTTAATAATAATTGTATAATGGAAAATATTATGAGAACTCACTCAAAGCAATGACTGATTGTGTCCACTGATATCTAGTGATTAGGAATTATTAGATTAAATCTGAGATTTATAATAGGCTTCTTTTGAATTATGTTGTATGGAAAAAAGGTGAATAGAATTCACACAGGTTAGATTTTTTATAAGTGAAGGGTCATCCAGACTGATAAAAAGCAATTAATTGTTTTTTATTGGTTTAAAAAAAGAGAAGACTAACTCTGGTGTAAAAAGTAAAGTTATTGGGCGCCTGGGTGGCTCAGTTGGTTAAGCGACTGCCTTTGGCTCAGGTCATGATCCTGGAGTCCCGGGATTGAGTCCTGCATCGGGCTCCCTGCTCGGCAGGGAGTCTGCTTCTCCCTCTGACCCTCCTCCCTCTCATGCTCTCTCTATCTCATTCTCTCTGTCTCAAATAAATAAATAAAATCTTAAAAAAAAAAGTAAAGTTATTTATACTATACTATTCTATTTATTATCTCTCTCTTTGAAGCTCACTTGGAGAAGCTGAAGTCCTGCAGAGAGGAATCAGACCATCACTAAAAATTTTCCTCTCCCCATTCCAGATTTCCTTTCTAGGCACTCTGTGACCAGCAAAATTTACACTGGATTCATGCAGCAGATTGGGTGGGTGAAGAGAAGTTGGATTAAAGGCCAAATCTGTCATTGTCCCTCTGGTCTTTGGCACTCCCCCAGTGGTATAGTGGTTGGCAATAAAGGGTTGAACTTCCTGCTTCTCCCTTCCATTTGGTCTCTTCCATGTCACCAACACATTCACCCATGTGTCTGTGGCAGAATCAACCCAGGATAAAGAGATTGATTCTCCACTTCATTTTACAGTTACTGCATAGGTATTATGATCAGGTATTTCAGAATATTTGTGGAGCTTTTGAATCAAATTTAATGAATCCTATAATTATTATTAAACATCTCACATCTCCTCTCCATCTTAAGGTCCATCTATTTTATTACTTTTGTTATTCTACTTATGTCCCAAATAAGGGGATCCTGTATCACATTTCTCACCAAATCTAAACTTCTGCTTCTTCAGGGCTTCCTCACTGAAGCAAATTGTAGTACTGAAGATAGCCACATGGTGATGAGAGACTGATCTCTTTGGTTTCAAGGAAGCATGGGAATCCGGTATCACATTTCTCACCAAATCTAATCTTCTGTTCCTTCAGTGCCTCCTCACTGGAGCAAATCATAGTACTGAAGATAGCCACAGTGTGCTGAGAGACTGATCTCTTTGGCTTCAAGGCAGCATGGGGCAGTCTTTAAGCTGGTGCTATCTAGGTATGAGCAGTGTTGTGCATTTGTTCCAATATGCTGCAGAAATTCTGACGTGCTCTATGTGGAAAAGGTGTGGAACAGCATGGCCCTAGACTTGTCTGGACACTTCTTCCCTGCCTCCCCCAGAACTTGGCCCCATCACTTTCTTACTCTCCCTGTCTATGATTTTCAGTGTCTGCACCATGCCCTCTGCCTCCAGGCACAGCACAATAAGGATGAAAATGGACACATAAAGATGCTGCTACCTCTTTTTAATGGCATAAATTACCAGTAACAACAAAGAAAAGGAAAACCTCCATATTTAATTAAAAGGCAAACCACAATAATTAAGGAAGGATGACCATAAGCAGAAAGGGAGGCCAGCAGAAATTGAGAGGGAAGATGCCTGAGACTAGAAGATTCAGATAACATTCCTTGACCATAATTCTCCACTCAGTTTTCCAAAGAGAATGTCATATTTTATGAGTTATTTGTTGTTCAAAGCAATGGGAACTTGGTGCACAAACTGGCTGTGGAGTCTTCCTGAGACTCATTTTGACAGGGAGGATTGAAGAAGAAATGAGGCAGATGCCATATTTGTAGGAAGCAGTATGTTGTTGAGGTGGAGGAGGAGAGTCTCTGAATAGGGAGCAGCTGTGGCATTACTGGTCACTGGAGCCAGACACCTCAACCACTCACACAAGTCTGTGTTGTAAGGAACTTTGACGGGCACCAGGGAGATTTCCTAAGAGCCTTCAACTTGAAGACTTGAAAGCTCTGGTCCTTCCTCATTGGAACTGCCCAGTAAAAACTTTCTTCTTCAAAACTGTACTTTGAATAGAAAGCACCAACAGATTTTTTTAAAGGAAAAGAGAAAAAGAATAGAAAAAAACAAACCAAAGATAAAGAATACTTAGAAAAATGTTGGAAGAGAACAGTGAAAATTTTGCCCAAATGGATTTTTATGAATTCAAAAACTTGATGAAGCAAATCGGTGATAAAATGGAATCCAAAGCAAAGATATATTACAGTTATATGGCTTGGAGAAGAGATCAGGAACCTTGACCCCAAGCCACATTGCCACCCATGATTAAGAAACCACCTTGGGAAAAAAGCCACCCTGAACAGAGCTACTGTTCCTGGGTCCAGACCCAGGCCTATGCCTATTCCCCACCAGCAGAATAAATACCCCATGTCCTTCATCATGACACCCATGGTGCTGGTCACCAGACACTGGGCTGCTGCAGAAATCCATTCAATAGGGGAGGAGCAAGATGGCGGAGGAGTAGGAGACCTAAATTTCATCTGGTCCCAAGAAATCAGCTAAATAGGGATCACAGCAGTCTGAACACCTACAAACTCAACAGGAGATTGAAGAAAAGAATAGCAGCAACTCTGAACAGAAAAGCGACCACCTTCTGGAAGGTAGGACGTGCAGAGAAGTGAATCCGAGGTGATATTCAGGAAGATAGACTGCAGGGGGAGGGAGCCTCCAGGGCTGGCTACCAACAAGTGATAGAGCAAAGGAACACAAAATCGGAACTTTTAGAAGTCTGCTTTGCTGAGGGTCATCGCTCCAGTGGCTAACCAAGGGATGGAACCCTCGCTGGGACAGTGTGGTCTCAGGACCCTTGGGGTCACAGAAAGACCAGGGGTGCCTGAGTGCAGCAGAGCTCCCAGGTATTGGAACAGGGAAGCTGGCTGCAGGGACAGAGCTGAGGAGTGGGCTCTCAGCTTGGAGTTGCCATAAACTGTGATCTGTGGCACAGTTGGGCCATTGCTCTTCCAGCAGGGACCCAACAAGCGGCAGATCCAGGAAGACTCCCCTTCCTTCTCCAGGAGGAGCGGCGCAGAAGTGCACCACAGGGATCTGCTGGGTTTGGAGACTCCACACAGGGTCATGTGCCAGAGATAGAAATGCTGGGTCACAGGCCTGGTGAGCATGGAGTGCGGTCAGAGACCGGTGAGACAGGAGTGATTGACTGCTTTTCTCTGGGGGCTCACTGAGGAGTGGGGCCCCGAGTTCTCAGCTCCTCTGGGGTGGAGATTGGGAGGCCACCCTTTTCACTCCGGTCCTCCAAAGCTGTATGGAAAGCTTGCAGGGAACAAAAGCTCCTGAGAGCAAACCCGAGCAGATGCCTTAGCCCGGCCCTGACAAGGGCAGCCAATTCCGCCTCTGGCAAAGACATTTGAGAACCACTGAGACAGGCCCCTCCCTCAGAAGATCAGCAAGAACAGTCCACTAAGATGAAGTTTACCAGTCAATGAG